TTTTGCACTGCATCCCTGTACCCAAACAGTAGGCACTCAACAATTGTCTATGGAATTAAACAGCAATACCAGGTTAAGAACTGTGACTTAGCAAACACATCGTTTTATCTGAAAACTCTGGTATCAGTAGAAATTTTGCGATCAGTCGCCTTTGCTTAAAAGCTCGCTGCTCCTTCATAAGCATACAATTATAAATCACATACACCACAAAAGGACTTAACGCTAAACTAAGGAAAGCAAAGACTGACTCAGGAAAGAGAAAAACTGAAAAACTTGAAAAAATCACTACAAAAACTGCTATGAATATGCGGTTATTAAGTGTGCCATAAGAAAACAGGAAATAAAAAATATTCTACTCAAGTGATAAACATTAGGCACAAAAAGGACATAGCTAATATTTCTTAACTAATACACCATGACATCATACATTATCATCTACTATATAATGCCTGGTGTAGATTCGAAGATTATACTGAAGTTATGAAATCCGTTGTTCAATCAGACAATTTTTGCAGTTTTACTTATGCTATGAGCACCATTACACAGTTTACCAACATGCATTAGTATACATGGTTTTGTCCATGCTGGAATTTTAAATAGAGCAAACACTGGCACTTTTGAAAATACAACCACAGACCTAAAATGACAGCTACGAGCAAAGTTCAACTGTTTAACAAGCACAAGATGGAAGATTTTTTATCTAAACGCTTCAAATTCACATAAAATTAATCCCCATAAAATGTGTGATCTATTAACATCCTTTGTTTCAGAGCATATTGTTCTACTCAGTGGGGTATGTTTTGGAAAACCTTAATTTAGGTCTAGGGATGTGCTCTGCTGATCAACACCTATGGACAGAGAAAGGAATAATGCTTCACTCTTCCTTGAGCAAGAATGTGTTCATTATTCAGGGCTCTGCTCACATTATTTAACAAATATTTACTTCCTGCCTCTTATATGCCAGATACAATTCAAGGTCCTAGTGCAGTAGCGCCCAATAGACTTTCTGGGATGATGGAAATGGTGAAATAGCAACAAAAGCTATTGGCCAATGTGGTGACTGGCCACTTGAAATGCAGTGGCGACTGCAAACAGAAGAACTGAATTTTTCATGTGATTTAATTAATCCAAATTTAAACCAAATGTGGCTAGCAACTACTACATCGGACAGGGCAGCTCTAGAGGTAAACTAGAAAAAGATCTTTCGTGAAGTTTACAATCCCGCGTGGAAGAAAAATATTAAACAAACCAATATATATATAATTTAAGCTGGTGACTGGAAGGGATGGATCTCTTTTGGGAAGGCCTCTCTAAAGAAGTCTGGATTAGATATCTGCCCTTTCTACACGCCCCCATTAACCCTATGCTAAAACACATTAACCCTATGCCGCACAGAACTCTATAGAAACCACTTGTCCTGTTCAGCTGTACTCCAGCACCTCTCATACTAAATTTCTAGACTATAAAACTTACAAATCTGACCCAGCCATGCAATGTTCAAAATATACACCAGAGAATCAGAGTTCAAAAAATACGGAGATTAGAGCAAAACCAATCGGCTCTCTCCTTATCCAGTCCCATGCGGCGTTGGAGCCTCACTTCAAAACACAGCACTGCAGAGCAAGGACCGCCTCCTTCTTTTTCTCATCCCCAGACTTTTACTCTGAATGACTAATTCACAGTTTTTTTAGCCGCAGCCAAATCACACTCCTCAGCCAACTCCAACTCACAAGGCTACAGCAAATACACTTTTAACAGGCTGCTTCACGGAACACTGCACCTCTTCCGCCAACCTTCTCCTACCCTTAGATTTACAATTCCTGGAAAGTTAATTTCTACTCAAACCTTACAGGCTCTGCGCCGCTCCTATACGTGACACGCCATACAGATATTCAATTAAGAGTTAATAACGTTTTGGAGGAAAGGGTAGCACAGGCGAGGCTATTTACCTAAAATGATTTGTCTTTTTCCTTCTATCCTCGGAAGTAACGAGGCCAAGTGAGTCACAGCCTCGTAGTGGGAATAAAGAGGAAGCTCACACTTAACAGGAAAAATGGTTGGGAAGTGATAAAGGCAGAAACTGGAGGTTCCACAAGCCCTCGACTTACTGCTGCCCCAATCCTCCCGCCATAGCTCGGGGAAGTGAGGGTGACTGCAGACCCGCCCGAGAGGAGAGGGACCCGGCAGTGCCGGGCGGGCGGCGGTGCCGGGCGGGCGGCGGCGCAGGCCCCGCAGGCGCCGGGTCAGTCGGCCGGCTCCGCGGTGCCCTTCCGCTGGGGCCGGAGCCCCGTGCCCACCCCCGTTGGCCGTGGCCCCCAGTTACCTGCTGGTCTCAAGCGAAGAATAGCGCTCGGGCAAGACCTGGAGGCAGCGCTGAAAGAACCGCACGTGCCGATCTCGCAGGAAATCCAGCCGCTCTCCCTCTCCGCTCCCCGCTGGCCGCTCATCCTCCGTGGCCGCCATGCTGCTGCGGAAGCGACGTCCGCCGCGACCCGGAAGCAGTTGGCGCGCGGCGTGAAGGAACCCCGAGGGGCGACACTGGCGCGCGGGCATGGCGCGCGGGGACGGGCAGTGCCCCGCAGGCTTGGAGACCCCTCTCGAGCCTTGTAAAATTCAGCCCACAAATCCCTCCAGAACTTTTTATTCTCGTTAGATATTTGAAAGGAAATGCACGATCAAAAGCTTCTAGTTCGCTTTGAGACAATCATGGCCCTAAACGATGGTATATGTGAAAATGGATGGATCAGAATCAGTCCTTTCTGGAAGGCCCCAGTTTTAAACTGAATGGATAGGGAGGCTAGACCTTCAAATCAAGCCGTGGAGATAAATGTTTATTAAGTAATTATTGACGCTTCCTAAGTTCAGAGACGTTCCTAGTCCTCTCTAGGATACCAGCAATCACTTAAAATACGTATATTGTATATATACACAGTATACCTATATACACACAATATAGACTTACTACATATTCATATGTGTGACTGCATCATTTTCTTTTTCAAGTCTTAAAAGATCGTATTCTTAATGCTTAAGTCTGTGTGTTCATCAATGTTGCATCAATTTGCCAAGCAAACAAGCTCAAACGTTCACCAACTACCGGTATATAAAAAATGAAACAACATGCTTCTGGCTATTTTTTTTTTTTTTTTTTAAAGAGGAACTTAATTTGCGTCACGAGGCGGTCTTTGGGCAAAAAATCCACCCAAAGATCAGGCTCAAACCTAGGTTCTCTATAGTCAGCTAGGCTAAGTTTGAGTATGATTTTAATTGTAGGCTTTCTTAGAAAAATCTACTTAAAATATATACTGTGTGGGCTGGAGTTATCTTCTACCTATTCAGTAATCCAGAGCGCCCAATTTTAGGTACTAGTAACTACTTATTCATAGGTATTCCTGTATGTCTTTAACAAATGCTGCATTACCAAAGGGCTGGGTATGCGCGGAGGGCTGTTCTTCAGGCTCCCTTACAAACAGGGAGGCCGGGCTCCTTGCTTTTCAGGTATGCCCCGTCTAGAGTTTTCATTCTGTTATTACAGTTAAGATCTTACTCTCTCACAAACATGCACCACCAAATGTCGGAGCATGTTCAAAGTGGAGTCATATCACACATATTTAATTTATTAGGATGAACAATGCAGTCTATATATGCTCAGAAAGACAATCCTGTTCAACTGGGCCACTAAAGAGAACCCAAATATTTTCATCTGATTCTCAGCTCAGGAAGCAGCAATCTGATCCAAATTCTATGATGGATTCACAGAGAAATAATGTAATATGCCTCCTAGGTAAGTAAAAAAGGTTTTCATGGGTGACTTTGACCACACAAGATTACTGACATATGCATGACAGAATCCAACCCCCATGTAAAAAGTATAGGAATGATAAAACATCTATATAATTGAATATTATTTAGCCATTAAACAATAATGTTTGAATTCTATAGAAACATAGGAAAGTATGTATAATGTAATTTAGTATAGTAAATAAAATGTACTCTATGACTGTAGCTATTTTAAAATATGTAGGCATATTTTTGGAAAAAGTTACCCTGGAGTAATGGAATTATGGGTGCTTTATTAACATTTTCCTTTTAGGGATTTTTTCTAAATTTCTTACTCATATCCTTTTTAAATCAGTATAAGAAATGTTTATCTCTTCTATGAGCCTATATCTGAAGATACTATTAATTATTGCTTATTCTATACCTTTTATATAGAGGATCCATATAATAAATCCCTCATTTATTTTAGATTCAGTTAGAAGGACTGGTTTTGTCAAAGAAAACTCCATACTTTTATTAAGAAACAAACCAAAAACCACACAAAAAGCCATAAAATCACACTACCCAGTATGCTTCCCTTAGATGCCGGAAATGGATAGCTGCCTTTCTGTGCAATAAAAAGCAACATGTTCAAAAGCCATATGTAAGAAACCTTTCTTTTTTTCTATCTTGTAGTAGTTCCATTCTGTGTTTAAAATCTGTTGTCCAATTCAATATTTTATTTCTTAAACTGCCTCCAATCATTTAAAAAAAAGTTATAGAGAACAAGGGCTACAAATAAAACAGGCATTCCTGATTAAGGATGTTTTATGTTATTTCTTTCATTTTGCACCAATAATTGTATAATCAGAATTTGGTTTACAAAATTTGGAAGCCATCTGCTTTGGTGATTAACTGTGAAATAAGTAAAGGTTACTACTATTAGTAAATTTCTGAGTCATTTGACCTAGATGTATCAAGTTATAAATTAAAGATATTCTAAGATAAAAGTTAAAAGAAACGAGTTTTCTATATTTATTACGTATATGGTATCTTTCCTATAAGATGGGAACTGATTAAAGTTAGGAACTAAGATTTTATAATATGAAAAGTTGAGTCAAATTAAGTTAAATTGTGTTTTCATGTACAAAAGTTTGGAAATTTTAAAGTTAACTCTTTTGACTAAATATTTTGAGCCAAACAGAAGCAGTAAAGAAAACTGCACCAGCTAGGAAGATGTGATAGACACAAAGGCTTTATAAATGTGTGACATCCAGAAAGGCTAAAGGGAAATTGGGAATAGCTAAAGGAAACCAAAAAGATATCGATAATACAAATAATAGCATATATATATATGAGGTGAGGCATATTTTTAAAATAAATAATCTCTATATAAAACAAAGCATGCTTCCAACAAATACAAAATATTTATTACACAAAAATGTAACAACTGACAAACTACCAATTTGTTAAACTTAGAAAAGTACTAACTTACTTCCCCCAAAAAAGGAAAACCTTTGCATTTTGTTACTTGAGCTAATTCACATCCAAGTTATAAATGTTAAAAAATTTTTGTTTAAAAAAAAAGTTACTCTATGATTGTCCCAACTTATTTTGCTATGCCATAACAAAAACAAAATATCTTTGAAATGTTCTAGTATTTAAATGAAATCATGTTTGTAACATACACTTATTCAAAAAACGTTTACATCAATAATAGACCAACATACACATTAAATACCCTCTGAGTATAAACATGAGCTACAATAATGCCACATGAAACTCAGTACCTGTCGATTCACATACAACACAGTTATCAATCTGACTGGGGCTAGTACTATTTAAAGAACATGGTTAGTGACTCTCTCCTGGTATGAATATGCTGACATTCTCATCAACTGAATACCAACTTCATTATCTCATATTCTTTTGTCAAGTCCTTGTCTCCAGGTTGGAATAGCCCTAGGGAGAAGAAGAAGGGCAATTATAAATGCAAAGGGAATTTTTTTTTTAAGATTTTTACTTATTTATTTGAGAGAGAGAGAATAAGAGACAGCATGAGAGGGAGGAAGACCAGAGGGAGAAGCAGACTCCCCACTGAGCGGGGAGCCCGATGCGGGACTCGATCCCGGAGCTCCAGGATCACGACCTGAGCTAAAGGCAGTCGCTCAACCAACTGAACCACCCAGGCGCCCAATACAAAGGGAATTTTTTAAAAATCCTAATTAAATTCTATGGTGGACTCACTGAGAGATAATATGCCTCCTAGATAAGTAAAAGGCTTTTCACGGGTGACTTTGACCACACAAGATTGTTGACATATGTATGTCAGAATCTAACCCATGTAAAATGCCACTCTATGTTATTAGGTACAAAGTGTAAATAGCTCAAGTTTTCAACGTATAGGAATGATAGAACATCTGGCGCCTGGGTGGCTCAGTTGGTTAAGCGACTGCCTTCAGCTCAGGTCATGATCGCGGGGTCCTGGGATCGAGTCCCACATCAGGCTCCCCCTGCTCTGTGGAGAGTCTGCTTCTCCTTCTGCCTCTGCCTGCCACTCCCCCTGCTTGTGCTCTCCCTCTCTCTCTCTGTCAAATAAATAAATAAATAAAATCTTTAAAAAAAAAAAAAAGGAATGATAGAACATCTATATAATTGAACATAGCAACTTTTATCAGCTTTTTACTGTAAAATCTAGCATGCATATAGAAGTTGTATAAAATATAAATACATAGTTATTAAATTATTACAAAGTGGACACCCACTCTAACTCCTTTTTACCTGTGTGGGATATGCAGAAGTGGCCCAGAGCTTGTGGGTCCCGTCTTCTTGGTCCGTTCCTCCCAACCTTTGGTAGGTCTGTAAAGCCTAGAGGGATCTCTACTAACGTTGTTTTCAACCTGTAATCAGAATGAAAATGAGTGCCAGTTACTTTATATGAACTATGAAGTTTGGACTAGTGAGTGAGATCTTTAGTAACAACAGCAAGCAGTTACAAGAAACATCCTTGACATTCGCTAAACAGAAATAAAACTGTTAACCTTTTCAGCAAACTTCTGGTTGTGTTCCGAGAGCTAACCTAAAATCTGGACTCCATCAATCTATTAATAAACTGTTAATTTAGCTTCTTTTTTCTAGTTCAATTACTTTATTCTGCTTCCACTGTTGTTCTATTTTTTGTTTCTATTCTGAGGGAAATGTAATGCCGCCAAGTGTGATAGTGGGATGGCCAAGATAAATAACCACCAGAAGTCCTTCGTTCCTTCCGTTCCCATGAGAGTCACCAACATCTGTAGTCCGTGTACTCCCAGGGAGATTAAGCAATGCTCCTAGCTGCCATAGGTCTAAAACAGAGGCATATACAGAAAAAAAAATGAAAAACAGAATGAAGAGTAGGAAGAGAAAATTAATTCAGGGTAAAAGAAAATAAGGTGCTTAGAATGTGAAATGGCAGAATTTCAACAATAGTTGCTTAAGTTGTACTAAACTGTGCTTTGTAATATGTAAATCCGTTAAGTACGAAATCTAGAGGAAGTGATACAGAAATAGAGTTCTGGATATAAAGAAAATGGATTTTATGCTTGTCTCCTTACAAATCAAGGAGTTAGGATAGTAACAATAAAAATAAATCTTAGCACACAGCACCTTTTCTTTTAATTTTGCCAGTTTCCTTTGTTTTTCTGCCTTTTCGTCTTCCTTTAACTGTCGATCTAGAATTTTCAATTCGAGTTTATGTAAATCCTAAAAAAATACACCAACAAAAGAAGAGTAACATTAAGAAAATAAAATTCAGCAGAATTTGTTTCAAAGGTCAGTTACTTGCAAGTAAAATTAAATTACCCTAAATATCAAGACTTCAATATTAACCTTTTCCAACAAAGGCTAAGAGCTGTATTTATCCTGAATATAAATGTAACACATGCACATCCTTTCTGAATCACTTTCTTTAGCTATCTCTTGTTTTATTTTATAGTTCAATCTAAAACTCCTTTTCTTTTAATAGTTGAGCTAAGCCCATTTTCACTTATTGATACAGGTATGTCTGGTTTTAGATCTCTCACATATTTTGTTTTACATGATTTCTTTTTTTTCTTGGTCTTTTATTGTGCGGACTGCTCGCCTTTTTTGGTGGGCGGTGGGGAGAATGCATGGGATCTTTTGTTATTTAGGAAGATTTTTACATATGGACTAAGGGAAATTCCATTAATGTGTTTTTGTCTATTATTTTTCTTTGTATTTCCCTTATTTTTTGCTTTATGACAGTTGCTTTTATGTCTTTTGATGCATATAACAGTTCATAAGAATTATTTCATAACAGTTATATCTCATTTTTTTAAAAAGATTTTATTTATGTATTTGACAGAGAGAGAGTGCACAAGCAGGTGGAGTGGCAGGCAGAGGGAGAAGCAGGCTCCCTGCTGAGCAGAAAGCCTGACTGGGGGCTTGATTCCAGGACCCTAGGATCATTACTTGAGTCGAAGGCAGACACTTAACTGACTGAGCCACCCAGCCGCCCCTAGTTCTATCTCATTTGAACCCTTTTTCATTTTAAAGTATCCTTCCCTGGGGTGCCTGGGCGGTAGAGTTGGTTAAGTGCCTAACTCCTGGTTTCAGGTCATGATCTCAGGGCCATGAGACTGAGCCCTGCACCGGGCTCCATGCTCAGCAGGGAGTCTGCTGGAAATTCTCTCTCTCTGCCCACCCGCCACCCCCCATGCGTGCATGCACGTGCCCCCAACCCTAATAAATAAATCTTGAAAAAACAGCCTTCCTTATCTTTTTAAATACTTTTTGGACTGAATTCCACTTTAATAGTAAAACTGTAAACTCTTTCTTCTATTAGCATTTTTCTTGTATATGTTTTTTTAAACTCCCCTATTATCCCCTACCTCTCTGCAGTAACCTTGATTCCCTTAAGTCCATACTGAGTTTCTATACTGTACCAGACCCTAGGGTACAAGGATGAACAAAAAGGACAAACCCTCTGCTCTCATGGAGCTTTCACGGTGGTGGGGAGATGGAAAAGTGAACAAGTAAGCAAATCACCTGTGGGGTAGGGACCGGCGGTCTGGCAGAGAAGACAGGACAAGCATGGCCCGGCCCATGGCTACCTTTCTAGCCTCGTCCCCTGCTGCTTCCCAGCTCCTGTGTGGTGCCCTGACATTCCTGCAGTTCTTACAGGTTTCCCCCCAAACCACACCGTTACCCTCCTGCGAGCTGCCCTTCATGCTCTTCCCTCTGCCAGGAAGGATCCACCCCCCGCACCTCTCTTCTCCAAGCCTCCACCCCAGCATCACCTTTGGTCTGCCACCCGTAGCCCTGGAAGGCTTCCCTCACTGCCTGCCCACCTCCTGAAGTCCTAGGCCCACCACCTCCATTACCCCACTTCTGCGCGGTCTCCCGTTTTCGCTGACCTCAGTCTGGAGGCAACACCCCTACGGGGGGCCCTGAAGGCTACCCAGGAACCATTATTGACTCACTCGTTCCTGAAACCTGGAGATCTCCTTGGCAGCGGTTTTCCTCCTTTCGGCCTTTTCTGCCTTTTCCCTCATCTCCTTTTCATGCCTCAGAAATGCTTCCTGCTCTTTCTTCTGCTGGGCGTAACTCTCCAGGAGCACTTTTAGTTTAAACTGGCGACGGCGCTCTTTCTGCTGATGCTTCTCTTTCTCTGCTTCTTCTTTCACCTGGGAGGCACGCCTCATTGATCTTTCGAGATTTTTCTGCTTCTTCCACGCTTCCACTGCCAGTTTCTGCTTCTTTCTTTGCTCCTCTTCTCGCTTCTGATTATCTTCTTTTTTATTGTGCAGGAGCAGAGAGATGTTCTCTGCCTTTTCCTTCAACTTGAAAATTTCCTCCTTCTTTTGCAGCTTTTTGGTTTTCCAGTTCTGAATAGACTAAATGATTAAAAAAAAAACAACAAAGAAGGACAGCAAGAGAAAAACATTTTTAATAACCAAGAGCACTCGAAAAGGCAATCTCAAATCCACCTTTCTAGAAAGAATATTGTAAAAAAAAAAATAAAGAAAGAATATTGTTTGCAGGATGCTGGTTGCTTTGGTTTTAAAGCATTTTTTTTCCTAAACCAATGCAATTTTTTTCCTACTTCATTTTTTTTAAATAATGGACCTTTTATTTATTTGTTTAAAGATTTTATTTATTTATTTGAGAGAGAGAGACAGCGAGAGAGGCAACACAAGCAGGGAGCGTGGGAGAGGGAGAAGCAGACTCCCCGTGGGGCAGGGAGCCCGACGCGGGGCTCGATCCCAGGACCCCGGGATCATGACCTGAGCCGAAGGCAGACGTCCAACGATGGAGCCACCAAGGCGCCCCGATGATGTACCTTTTAAACACTGAGTGTTGGTTTATCCTTTTGGTCTTCTTCCTCTCTCAATCCCCAGGCTCACAGAGACTGCACCTCATCAAGTGGCCTCCTCTCCTGTACCCCCTTCACTTGCATTCATTAGGGAACGACTCTTTCTTCTGATCATCTCACTCTGCTTCCAAACCCTCTGTCTAGGCTTAGAACACTTGCTGAGTGACTTTTTCTCTGTCGAATATCAGAAGAGGAATTACAGGTGGGCTGCTTGAGAGCATGGGTCTGAAGCCAGCCATCTGGGACCAAATCCTGGCTCTGCCGTTTAGTAGGTGTGCTCTTGCATGAGTCACGAAGCTTCTCTGACCTCATTTTGCTCATCTGTAAAGGCAGTGGGTAGTACCTCTCAAACAGGGTTGTTGTGAAGATTCAGTGAATCAGTGCCTGGCACATACTGATTCACGAGTGTGAAAAAAAAGGTAAAATTGCTATATTGCATTTATGGGTATATAAATATTATTTAAAATCCTAGCAGCCTGCTAGCAGCCATAAAGGATACATCTATTGAATGACTTTTCCCTCCAGTCAGTACACTGTTTTGTCATCTTTTCTCATGGCGTATCATACATTCATGAGATAAATCCCTGTGGTACGTGTACTGTATGCAAGGTGGTGTGCTAGGAGCCACAGATAATTAAAACAGTACCAAGTGCCATCTAGAACAGAGTCTCTCAAAGTGCAGGTCCACAAATATATCAGCAATTCATGCCAGAATGTAAATCAGTGTACTACTTCCTTCAATGAGAAAGTTTTCTACAGAAAAAAAAAAAGTGAACTTAACTAAACAGTGTGCTTATTGAGTAGCTGATTCTGGTGTAGTCGATTTATCCTACTGGAAACCAGCAACAGCTTACGAACTAACATCTAGTCCATGGACCAAGTTTGAGTAGCACAGCTCCAGGTGAGATAAGGTACATGCATAAACACTAGCACATATATGTGCCCTAGCATGTCAAAGAAGACATGTAAACAAGGAGCACTTGGGTGGCTCAGTTGCTTAAGTGTCCGATTCTTGATTTTGGCTCTGGTCATGATCTCAGGGTCATGGGATCGAGCCCGGGTTTGGGCTCAGTGCTGGGTATGGAGACTGCTTGAGATTCTCTCTCTCCCTCTCCTTCTGCCCTCCCTCCGCCCCCTGCTCACACTCACTCTATCTCAAAAAAAAAAAAAAAAAAAGAGAGGTATACACGAGGTGTCTGTGAATTCTGCAGGGACTTCCTGTGTCTCAGTGGGCAAGCAGGAAGTAGCATCTGATCTGGGCAAATTTTGATGGGCTGGCACTGGAGGGGGGGAAGAAAGAATGGAGGCTCCAGAAAAATGGAACAAGACAAGCAAGGGTGCTCGGGCCAGAAAGTTCAGAGCACGTCTGAAAATCATTATCTTCAGTTGGGCAAAACACAGGACATGTTAAGGGAAGTGGGAGATAAAAATGGAAAATCACCTACTCATCATCTTTTTTTTTTTTTAAGATTTTATTTTTAAGTAATCTCTAGACCCAACGTGAGGTTCGAACTCCCAACCCTGAGATGAAGAGTCACACGCTCCACTTACTAGCCAGCCAGGCACCTTCCTACTCATCTTAAACTCAGTAGAGTTAAAACTACGTTCCTGAGGCTCTCCCCGCAAATTCCCTCTTCTCCAACATGTCCTACTTCAGTAAACAGCCCCTCAACCTGACACCCCACCTACCTCACTCCTACATTCAATCAGGTGTCAAACAACAGGAAACAGACTGAGAAGAAGAGTGAGCTAGAATCCAGGTGGTTCACCTTTATTACAAGAAGCACTGTGCCTGCTCCTTTTCCCTAGAGAGGTGGCTCTCAAACTTGAGCTCGTAACAGAATAACCCAGTGGCCTTGTGAAAACATAGATTGCTCCCCACACCCAGAGTTCAGATTAGGTCTGGGGTTGGGGCCCAGAAAGTTCTAACAAGTCCTAGTGACGCTGACTTTGCTGGTCCAGGGACCCCATGTTTTCAGTATCCTGGGGAAAAAAGCCCAAATAATTCTTAACAGCTCATTATTTTGAATTTTTAAAAATGACTTGTTTCGAGGTGCTTGGGTGGCTCAGTTGGTTAAGCGTCTGATTCTTGATTTTGGCTCAGGTCACAGTCTCAGGGTCATGAGATTGAGCCCTGTGATGGGCTTCGTGCTGGATGTGGAGCCTGCTTAAGATCCTCCCTCTCCCTCTGCCCCTCCTGCCCTCCCCACCCCCTCCATGAGTGCACATTTGCACACTCTAAAAAACAACAAAAAAAAACTTATTTAAAAAAATTTCCTTAGAGTCCCAAATGTCAATTTTCTTACATTCAACTTATTTCAAGGGGAAAAAAACAACAACAAATGAACCCTAGTTATTTTCTCTAAAATTTTAAATTAAATGTGGAATTGACATTTCTTTAATGCTCCTCAGGTATGTCATGTTGAACAATCATACTTTTGCTGTCAAACCAAGCTAGCTGATGTTTATTATAGTGGAAGTCTACAAAAAAGGGACTCAGACTCAGACTATCTAAACCCACGGTACTCAACCAGGGGCAATTCTTGCCATCCAGGGAGCACTGGGTAACGTATGGAGACATTGTTGATGATCACAACTTAAGGGAGTGTTACTGGCATTGAGAGGGTTGAGGCTAGGGATGCTGCTAACCATCTACAATGCACAGGACAGCAAAGAAGACTCCAGCCCAAACAGTTCACGGTGCCAAGGCAGAGAAGTCCTGATTTAAACCAATGCCAGAGTAACATTATTGTGAAAATGGAACCTGTTAGGTATTGCTACCAGTAAGAGTTACTCTTTCCTCTGGGGTAGCCAACATCTTGAGTCTTTTAAAATAAACAATGAGGCTTAAGCTCCAAAACTCCAAGAAACATTTAAGAATCAAAGAGTCTTTCCCTACTGCCTTTTTATTTTCTCTTGAAAACAATCAGGCCTTGGTGGTAAGATTTCTTTTACCAAAAGCCTAAGTAGTTCTGGATTTCCCACATTTCAGGCAGACACAGGGGGGTTTTTGCCCACCATCAGAAGTTTTCTGGCCCGTTGTATTTCTTAGGGTAGAAAGGTTTGGCCTTGAAGAAGTTCAACTGGTACTCCCTTAGTTGGGTAAGATTACTTAGCTTCTCGCTGCTTCAGTTTCTCTTTTATAGGACAGTGGGGTGGGGGACTATAAACACACTTCACGAGTGACTGTAAAGTTAAGGATCCATGTTAAAGAGTCTAGCACCGTGCCTGGAAGACAGAAACATACAAGTAATAGCTATTGTTGTGATTATTACCTCTTTTCTTCTTTCTTCCAGGGCCAGAAATTTTTGATACCATTTCTCGTGCTGCTGAACTTCCTCCTGCGTTCTTCCAGGAAGGTTTTCTAGAACTTCTCCCATGAACGTAGGCCTCCCTTTATGTTTGTTTCTCACCTTCACAAAGTTCTGGTGGTCATAGTCATCCCAGCCCCCCTGTCGCCCTCCTGTTTGCTGAAGGAATTTTTCGAAATCTACCACTTCTTCTGGAAGAGTGCTCAGCATTTCTCTGTCTACAGGAAGCTTGCCTGACATGGCTCTGAAAGCTGCCTCTGCTCCTGAGTTACCCAAAGCCCACATGTCGATTTTTCTTGATATGGCACTTAACTCATTATTGGCGGTTTTCTCTTCTTTAAGAAGCTCTTCATATCTGAAATTTTTAAAGGTAAACTTTGAATAATGAGATACAAACCAATCCATATCGACCTTGCCTTTTTTCCCCTCAAATTTCATTATTCCTGACTCTTTACGTGTCATCTTCTCGACTGAAAATTATTAACATTACAAATCTAAGCCTTAAAAGAGTTTCCTCAGAGGGGGAAAAAACCATCTTTCAAATTCTTATTTGGGTTTTCTATCTTGTCCAAATATAAGTGAAAATTCACTTGAAACATGAAAAGCAATCTGAAACCTAAAACAAAAGAAGAGAGGTGCTATATTGCTCTTGTGTAAGACTAATATCAAATACAGAACAATAAAATGGCTTGTGTACAACAACCTAGTGGAGAGGCAGTGAAAAATAAAGGTCAATAATTTTATATCAAAATGAATTTAAAACATACATCAACCTCTGCTCTTCCTTAAAAGTGTTAATCGCATTTTCAATTTCTTCCATCATTTCTCTGAGCTTTTCAACAACTGTAAAAAAAAAATAACACGGAAAGACGTTATGTCGTATTTTAGTAGGACTAAGAATAAAATGTTAGGAGAAAATGGAATGTTGCCTTAATTTATCAACATTTCTTAACCTAAAGGATAAGACAGTTGTGCTTTTATAAAGCTAGTGTTTATGACTGCAGTTTTTTTCTGATTATAGATTTATTCCTGTGCACATGTATTATTAAACCATACTGTCATTATTTTTCCCACGGAAATGTTTTATACTACACATACTGCCTTGTGACAAGCAGTTTTCATTTAACAAAATATGGTTAAATACATGTGGTTAAGTTTCCATGTCAATATATGTATGTCCCCCCCTCATTTTTTTCATGGCTTCATGGTATTTCTTTTTTTTTTTTTTTAACATTGTATTTATTTATTTGACAGAGAGAGACATGGCAAAAGAGGGAACACAAGCAGGGGGCGAGGGAGAGGGAGAAGCAGGCTTCCCGTGGAGCAGGGAGCCCGATGCAGGGCTCGATCCGAGGACCCTGGGATCAAGCGGCTGAAGGCAGACGCTTAACGACTGAGCCACCCAGGTGCCCCATGGCTTCATGGTATTTCATTGTCTACATTTACCCTAAGTCATTTCATTAATTCTTCAAGTGATGAACCCTTCAGTGGTAAATACTTTTGTGTAGTGATTTTGCATGCTCAAGTGTTTTTAGACAATAATTGAAAAACTTGAATGCCAAATCAAAAAGTGTATGTGCTTTACAGTATGGTCCACAATGGCACACTGTCCTGACGGTGCTTGGAGGCTCTACTCACTTACGGTTCCTGAGTGTCCCCTTCCCGTGCACCTTGAACCATTTCCAAAATGAGAGGCGAAATGGATCATGACTGATTTCACTGACATTTTTGCGAACATTAACGAGCCTGAGCATTTTTCTCATATGTGTTTTGTATTTCTTTTGCTATAAACGAGCCCCTGATAATCTTTACCCATCTTTCCACTAGGTTATTTACCTTTGTTGCTCCAATTTGTCGGTACTCTTTATATGTTATGGACATTAGTTTTTTAAGTTACATATGTATTGCTGATATTTTCCCAATTTGTTTGTCAACTTTATGTTTTTGGGTTTTTTTGTGTGTGTGTGAAGTAGTCAATTATGTCTACTTTTGGCTCTATGGCTTCTGATTGTCATTCTTATAAACTAGAATACAATTATAAAAATATGAACTCATGTTCTTTTCTAGGATATTTATGGCTTCATGTATTAATTTAATAAATAATAATTAGGATAGTCACAGTTACCATTTCTTAGTGCTTCCTAGGTTATAAACATTTGACAGGTGCTTTATACGCATCGTCTCACTTCATCTCCCCAAGAATCCTTAGGGAGGTCCTATGATTATCTCCATTTTACAGCTACGGAAATAAAAGCTCAGAGAGATCAAGTAATTTGCCTAAAATCACATAACTAATAAGTGATTTGATCCTTCAGGAATGAATGTTGGTGTGCGCAGGGAGGTAAGGATGCCATTTCCTCTTTTTCCAAATGGCTAGCATTTGCCCCAATACTATTAACCTTTTCCTTATGTATTCAAAATGCATTTATTTGAAAGGCGATTATTTCAAAAAGCAAATGTTGGGAAAAGCACAAGGCTAGGAATCAGGAAATTCCCTCTTTTCTTCTTCATTAGCTGAATCTGAACTCCTCCAAACCAGAGGTTCCATCCTGTACATGACACTATTTTCTGTTCAGTCAACTTCATAATTTGTGAGGATGTGATAGCATTTTAAAGGTAAAGCAACTACATAAACACCACCTGTCACAGTTAATTATTAATGTATCTTTCCTGATCCCTAACCAATAGATTATGGCCTGGCTCCATTAAGGCCAAAGGAAAACAAGCACTTATTAGGAGAGTATATAAATATTTCTAATGAGCAACAGCAAATACTAATACAAAAGACAGAACAGAAATCTAAATTCACTCACAATCAGGTGTAGGCTTCACATCTTTTAACTGGTGCTGAAGTTTCTTTACATTGTTATGTATTTTGGCCAATTGTTGCTGGATTTTTGCTCCTACAAGGAAGAAGTATGTACTTTTAAATAACTCTATGACAAAGGTGGTTACAACTCAGGGTTCTACACGTAAGACTGATCACTATCACTTAGTAAAAGATAGCCAAGAGCAATTTAAGGACAAAAGATGGTAAAAAAAAATCACAAAAGATATTTGTGTCAAAACAGCCTGAACATTTTAAGTAACCTCGCTTAACTAAAGCAGCATCTGCCAGTTTCCTCCAATATTTAAAAGCACAATGGGTTAAGTCTTACTATAAAAGGAAATGTTCATTCTTTCTCTCTCTCTCCTTTTTTGAACTCTTTGGAGATTGAATGATTGGACTCTGTTCTAAATACATGGAACAGGAGCTCAGATGTAGTCATGTTTTATTCTTAAAAAGTTTTTTTTTTCTTTTTGTTATAATTTATGGAAACAGAATTTGATCTCTACTGTTGGAATATTAAAACTGTCTACCCAATATTAATTCTATGCATACCAACAAACTTCCTGATGAGAATTAATGTCATCTAACCACATCCTCCATGACAGGGGTCGGTGAGACCCACTGGTGTCACGGTCATGGCCTTGAGGAGGTGCCCAGCTGCCATGCAGTGGTACCTATATGCTACAGGTTGCCAAGCTCAACCAACGGTCTAGCCTAAAGTAACATGCTAGGCCCACAGTAAGAGCCTGATGAAGGTCTCAAAGACATTTGCAGATGTTCTGTATCAGCAGCAGAAAGACCGGATTCTTCTCTATTTTCTTTCTGAAGTAATAATCTTACTTTAATGTTTATTTAAATTATTAAGCTAGTATCATATATTCATATATATTCATATGATAATATTATTTTATCATTTTTGGGTACTTTATGTGCTCCCTCTTCCTTTATTGCAACTTTTCCACAAATAAGCATGAAGTACCAAACAGCTGTCCCAAAGTCCTTAAAACCAATTAATTTCTTAAAAGATTTTATTTATTTACCTTTCAGAGACAGAGAGAGAGCGAGAGCACAAGCAGGGGGAGTGGGAGAGGGAGAAGCAGGCTTCCCACTGAGCAGGGAGCCCGATGCGGGGCTCGATCCCAGGACCCTGGGATCATGACCTGAGTCGAAGGCAGATGCTTAGCTACTGAGCCACCCAGGTGCCCCTTAAAACCAATTATTATTTTTTAAGTTTACCTATAGGCCCAGAGCCAGTGCTAATACCCAAAACAAACCTCACACATGTATATGTGACTTTGGTTTGTTCTATCTTTTCTTAAAAGTAATTTATTTATTTATTTAAGTAATCTCTACACCCAACGTGGGGCTTGAACTCACAGCCCTGAGATCAAGAGTCGCATGCTCTTCCTACTGAGCCAGCCAGATGCCCCAGGATTTGTTCTACTTTCTATTAAAATTCAAGAGTTCCCTAAAAGCAGAAATATGTCTAGTGTACTTTATAGGATTTCATTCATTCACTGTTGGAAATGTAGGTCGGGCAACTTCTCTAGAGAAGTGTAGTAAGTAGGAAACAGCTCTGTTATTTTGTTTTTGTCACCGTTTGATCAACTACAGTGATACTGCGATAGGGCAAATGATCCCTTAATTATTCATTTGGAACTGACAGTATGTATGGGCCATCCTTTAAATACAGTATTACACAAACACAGGCCAAAACTGTGGTGTGATATGGAGGCAAGGAAAAGGTATTGCTACTTCTAAGTTGTAATGTGGCAAGAAGAAACGTCTATAAACTTATACTGGGGCAGTGCATTCCCTCCTCTCCTAGATAAGATGAACACAAAGTGTGAACAAAGAGAGGCGAAACTGTACAATAATGGGAAATGAAAAGACAGGAATAAAGTTGCCTTACAAAAGGGAATGCACAGAAGGGAGACACCGCGATAATGGCACGATCAAGAGATAGAAAGAGCAGTCTTGGGGCGCCTGGGCGGCTCAGTCAGCTAAGGGTCTGACTCTTGATTTTGGCTCAGCGGAGAGTCCGCTTGGGATTCTCTGTCTCCCTCCTTCCCTCCCCCTGTTGACACTCTTGCTCTCTCTCTCTAAAATAAATAAGTGAACAAATAAAATCTTTAAAAAAAAAAAGATCAGTTTCTTAGTCATCTATTAAAGAACTGAGAGAAAGTAAAAAATATTAAACTAGGGATGTTTAGATGTCTCCATAAATCAAAGAGGAGAACTGGACATTTGGTAATTATATTAGGTCCTGCTGTCACCCCAAGAGAAGAGGAAGAATGATTCTTGCCACTACCTGACAGAAGATGACTTTTTACAATACTACAGTTGTATATTCTGAAAGAAAACATTTATTAAGAATTTCTTTTAACTGACTATAAAGGAGTAGAGGTAGTGCAATTTTTATATAAGTCTTAACGGTTCATAAGGCTTAGCTGATAACCATTATTTTTCCTTTATGTAATGCTAAGCAGTTTTTTTTTCATTCTAACATAAAAATTTTGCAACATATAAAATCTACAACAAAACAAGACATTTTTAGAGAATTCTTTTCTTAAGGGCAACATTTAGTACACTGTTAACGATGATGAATATTTGTAACAAACAACATATTCATTGTGCACTTTACACGGTACTTTCGCATATATTACCTCACTGGATGCACAGACCACTCCCCTGAGGCGGAAATGGTAGGTTTTCTATCACAGACAAGTGAACTCAGGTTTGAGCAGCTGTGTACCTTCCCCACTTCCTACCACTACGAAATCTAGCTTCTGCATCCACTGATGTTGACCTATTCAGTCAACAATACCAGGGTGATGAGCTAAGACTAGAAAGCCCAGGAACCGATTTCCCTTCATTTTAAGAAATTTTAATAGCATTAATTGGTTTGGCAACCAAAAAACAAAACCCTCTTTTTCCTCTTAAAGACAAAGAAATGTACATAGAAAACAATCCAGTTCGGATGACCAAATAGTGACCTGAAAAAAGAGATACAAATCCCTAAAAGACAGACTTATTACCAACTAGAAAGTATTTTGATGGAGAATATAACAGTCAAAGCACAAAGACAAAGCAAAACAACTACAACTTGATGTCACTCAACAGTTTGTAGCTCATCATGAACTCAACTTACTTTCTGTTTTCCTGCTGTTAATCAATTTATTTTCCAATTCTTCCAGCATACTATGCTCACTTCTGAAGTCACTTTTTTGGTTGTAGAAATGACTGTGTTTATCTTTTTCTATGTTAATAACTCTTTAGGAAAAGAAACAAATGGCATAAATGTGATTTAAATATATTTTTAATTGTTTAAAATATGAAGACACTCATTATAATCAGTACTTATGGATGGATTAATTCATCTAAGGAGCCCAAATATAATTACTAGAATTAATAAGGCTAAGGAGTCAAAGTAGTAGTTAGAAAAGAGTCAAGTTCAACTATAATCATGAGTAATTTGAATTGCTGGTTAAATTACAAAATGTGAGTTTCAGAAAAGGCAGTCATGCACTAGCTTTGAAAATACAATAGCAATTTGGCTCTTGATTCCAACTCAATCTTACTGTGGCCTCAAAGCGGCCACCATTGCTGATGGCTGCTTTCAACAGGAGATACAGTTAGCTTTGTAAACGGAGCCAAGACCTTTCACCTCTCCTGCGGTGACTCTCCTCCTCACAAAAATGTGAATAATGGCAGCTCTCTACTACCTAAGCAGGGCTGTGATTAAATTATATAAGGGCACACCTCCATGCAGTAAATACGTACTACGGAAATGCGTTATTAATATAATTAATAAAACTAAAATTTCAAGACGCAAACGATCTCCATAGACAGGAATTTTGGTATAATTAGGGATATTGTCTACAAGGACTTCAAAGCTTCTTCTGTGTCCTCTTTGCTCCTTGGATCTAGTCCATCTACCAGTACGGAGTTCTAATGTTAGCTTGAACCCTGGGGTAAGACAAAACAGATACTAGCAAGAAGAGTTTCTGGTTGGACAAAGAAATTTATTTTCTTTTTCCAGAAATCAACACAAATTCTTCTCCAGGAATCCTGGATTTAATGAATGATGGAATGTCTCGGGCCATTGACTTAATTTCATACAACCTGAGGAGTAACTATCTAAGAGTTTCCCAATATTTTCCAATTTGCCATCCATAAAAAAAAAAAAAAGTCAGTATTTATAAAGTTCAGTGGGGTAAACAGATGGGACAGCCATGGGCCCTACCTGGCTGCCTCAAAGGCTGAGAAGATCATACTGTAGTATGTGGGCTTAGGAGAGGAAGCAAAGGGTAGGACAGAGCTGTCAAATGGATCTCAGTCTACGTGTCAAGTCTTAAGGACTGAGCATGGCTACTGGAGTCCTGTGCTGAGGACTGGGAAGCCCATCCAGGCTCTGGTTGCCGGTGAGGGAAATGATAGGATCAGACAGAAATGTCTCCATGTACAGGGGATACGCTAGGACAGTAAGTTATGCTTTGTGATTCCTGGATTAGAAACAGTCACCTGTAAAGACATTCAATATGTACTAATGGAGACAAACAGCTAAACACAGGAAAAGATGCTCAACCTCACTCGTAACAGGAGAAATGCGAAGTAAAACTAGACCACAGTAACATCGTACACCTATCAGACTGGCAAAAATCACAAGTGTAAATACATATTCTGTTGACAAAACTGTGGGGAAATAGGTCCTCTCACACATTATTCGTGGAATTGCAAATCGCCTGTGGAGCGCTGTTTGGCAATATTTATTACATCTGCAAACCCATATGCCTTTGACCGAGCATTTCTACCTCTAGGAATTTTTCCTAAAGATGCACTAACACATACACAAAATGATGTGGACCTACGTAGATACTGTGATTCGTTATGGCCAAAGATTGACTATAACCTAAATGTCCATCACTATGGGGCAGGTTACATAAATTACGGTGCATTCATGCCCTGGGACACAGCGAAGCAGTATCAGGTTCTGTGTGCTGATAGGGAAAGAGCTCCCGAGATACACTCTTCTTCTAACAAAGGTTTTATGTGAAAATGTTAGACACACAACCAAAAGTAGAGAGTGATCTAATGACTCCCCTTACGTATCCTCACACCACTCTTATTTGACAATTTGCCCTCTCTTGGTTTACCTAGCTCTTTTCCTTATTTTAATCTCTCTTTCTCTCTCCCTTTTACTGAAGCATTCTAAAGTAAATCCACTGCATTATATAATTTCACCCCAGCATACTTGAGTGTGCATCTCTGGAGATTATGGATACTTAGCTATAACGCCATGATCCTGTCTGACAAAATCAACAATTCCTTGGTATACTCTTAAGTTAAAAATAAAACAAAACAAAGCAAGATGCACGGTAGTGTGTACAGTATGCTCCCATTTATATAAAAAAGGAAAACTCTGAATATGTATTTTTCTTTCCTCCTAAGCACATAAAAATCCTGTGGAAGGATACATAAGAAACTAAAAATAGTGGCTATCTGAAGGGAAGAGAAGTGGGTGGCGGGGGCCCGGGGTAAAACAGAGACTTTCCACTGTGTACCTCTCAATGTGTGCTGATTTTTGAACCATGTGAATAGATTATTACCTATGCTGAAAACAAAACAGAATTATATTCTGAACTTTGTTTTTTTGTATTCAATGAAAATTGTTGGCCAGAGACACTCTATTAACGGCTCTTTCTAATACTCTTTCCATGAGTTTTTCCAAGATTTTATAACAAGATGAAGAAAGCCTAATCAGAGCTGTAAAACCAACATATACTGGTACAGAAAGTCTCTACACTGCCATAATCTACTGGTTTGCTATAGACATGGCCATTAACCACTTGGCCGATTACCCATCTAGGGACAAACATAAGACAGACCCCTAACCTACAGTCCAGTCCTACCTAAAGTCATGCATTTTCGAAATAAAAAATAAAATAAAATTGTATTTTCACAAATTCTGATTGTTAAAAATATAAGTATTATATCAATGCGGAGAGCATTCAATCTCCCAAAGCTACAGTATGGTATAACATTGCACAATTTAAACAGTATACTTTTTTGTTGGCAGACTTTCTAAACAGAACTGCCACTAATCCCGGGCCTGAGACCATTTCTTACAACAGGCTCCATTTCTCCTGATTTCTTTAGCAAACTGATATTGTACAAATTCAAGGCAGTGTTTGTAAAAAGCTCTCAGCTGCAGGGTAGGGTTGGGTGGTACGAGTTCTAATGCTTTTGATCATCCTGCACAATATTTATCATATCACCGTGCTGCTGACAATACTGAACATTCAACAGATATCACTGGCTATTAAAAGAAAAAAAATACACATACACTAAAAGTTAAAATAAATGGCAACTTCTCAGTTACTCTAGTCATGATGTGCAAGACAGATCCGAAAGGGGAGACCAAGGGAGGGAGATCAATTAAAAGGCCATTTCAAGAAAAATAACTTGAGGATACAAACTCTTCATTAAAACTATTGACTCCCTCAAAAACAGTTACCAAGTGCTTACGTTGGGCAATGAAAATGTACTGATGTATGCGATCTAAAGAAATAACTGTTTTGTTTCCCTTCAAACACACTGATTCAAAATAATATGTGAAAATAACTCTACTTAAACCTTTATATTAAATAGTCTGTTATCATTTGTCTTTTTCATATCCCGGCCTTTCTCATTCATCTCTGGAAAGCCAGTGACTAGAATTTTGTAACTCAATGTGGGACTGGAGAGGGTAGAGTAGAATTAACTTCATACTGTCCACAAAAACACGGCTAGTAATGTTAATTGAAGATAATGTTCTTATACTTACTGATTTTTTAATTTTTCTGCTGTGCGTATGAACTCTGCTTTCTTTGTCCGACTAACTTTCTGCTTCCAGTTTTGAAGCTGAAAAGGACGAATCCCACCTGAACTACCGAAACAGCTATCATTCTACACAGAGAACAAAAACAAATTTACCATGAATAAGAAAAATGGCAAGAGATGAAGGCAGATTTTTTTTTCAGAGAGAAAGCATCAGTAATAATAATGAAGTCTCTTGGGGGATAATCTGGGGGCCCGTCTTATGTAATTTTTTAAAAATATATTTGTGGAAGAAGGAATAGCTACCTTAAAATGCTAAATTAAGAAATATTAAGTCTCTGGGGATTTTCACAAAAAGATCTAATTCTTTCAGTCATTTAGCAATATGTATCGGGACGCTTACGACGACATGTGGTGCGCTAGACACACCACAGAAACAGTGATGACCCACATCAATATGGCCCCGGGCTGAAAGTCTGGTGAGGGAAACAGATTTACAAAGAAAAGGGTAAACAAACAATAAATTAAAAAAACACCCAACTGCAATAAGTGCTACTTAAGAAACGAACAGGACTGGGATGGAGATAATGGGTTAAAGGACTGCTTTTCTCAGTAAGAATGGCCACAGAGGTTCTATCGAGGGGATGACGCTTAAGGAAGACTGGAGCCAGCCATGTCAAAAACAGTAGGGGACGGGGTCCCAGGCAGAGTGCGCAGCGTGTGCAAAAGTCGCAGGGCAGGCAAGACCTTGGCTGGTTCAAGCAGACAGAGAGCTAAGGTGACACGATGTTAGTAAAGGCGGGGAGCTTGGTAGGAGATGAAGGTAGACAGGCAGGTATGTGGCCCAGCACGGTGGCATTTTAAGTCACTTAGGGGGTCTGGATTTTACTCAAGAGTTTTGAGCAGGAGAATACCGTGACATATGTAATTTTTTAGGAAACGCTTTCCGGCCATTTTTGGAGACTAAATTGGTGGGAGGTGGGGGAAGAGGTAAAGCAGGACTGGAAGCAGAAGGATCAAGGACGTAGCTGGTACAGATGAGGAATGATGGTGTCTAGGACCACTGGGGTGGCGCGGATAGAAGAAGGATCTCCGGGTCCTGGGACTGAGTCTCACGTCTGGCTCCACGCTCAGTGCAGAATCTGCTTGCCCCTCTCCCTCCCCTTCTGCTCCTCCCCGTTCTCTCTCTCTCTCTCTCTCTCAAATAAATGAAATCTTAAAAAAAAAAAAAAGAAGTAAGACTAAATAGATTTTGCTTCTATAACCAAGAGGAATTGCTGAGAGATTAATGTAGATGAGAGAGAAAGGAAACAAGGCTTTACATTTCTAGGCGCAAGCTAAAAAAAAAAAAAAAAAAAAGTAATGAATTCAGGAGATATTTTTTCCACTGAGATACAATTCACATTACCATATAGTATATCCATCTAAAGTGTACAATTCAATGGTTTTTAAGATATTCACAAATGTGTGCAAAATCACTACTATCTAATTCCGGAAAATTTCCATCATACCAAAAAGAAATCCCATACCCATCATACTTCCACCCCTCTTCCCTACAAGCCTCTGGCAACCATTTAATCTTATTTTCGACTCCATGGATTTGCCTGCTCTGGACAATTAATATAAATGGGATCACACAATGTGTAACTCTTTGTGTCTGGCTTCTTTCACTTAGAATAATGTTTTCAATATTCATCTGTATTGTACCATAAATCTGTACTTCATTTCTTTTTATATCTGAATAATATTCTATTGTATGGATCTACTGTATGTGGTTTATCCATTCATCAGTTGATGGACAATGGGCTATTTGCACTATTTGACCAATATGAATAATGCTACTATGAACATTTGTGTACAAGTTTTAATATGAATACGCTTTCTCTTGAGCATACAACTCACAGTGGAATTTTTGGATCATAAGGTTAATTCTATGTTTTATTTTCTCATTTTAAAAACTGGGTTGTTGGGGAGCCTGGGTGGCTCAGTTGGTTAAGCATCTGCCTTTGGCTCAGGTCATGATCCCAGGGTCATGGGATCGAGCCCCACATCAGGCTCCCTGCTCAGCACTCTCCCAGCTCATGCACTCTCTCTCTCTCAAGTAAATAAAATCTTTAAAAAATAAAAATCACGTTGTCTTTTTGTTGAGTTGGAAGCATTCTTTATATATTGGGGATATAACTCCCTTATCAGATAAAAGACCTGCAAATATTCCCAATTTCCCTGAGCCGTCTTTCCATTTTCTTGATAATATCCTTCAAAGCACAAATATTTTCAATTTTGATAAAGCCCAATTTATCCATTTTATCTTTGGCGGCTTGTGCATTAGATATCCTACAGAAGAAACATTCAAAGGTCATGAAGACTCACATCTACATTTTTTCTAAGAATTTTATAGTTTTATCTCTTACATTTAGGTCTCCATCCATTTAGGGTTAATGTTTATATATGGTGTGTGGCAGGAGTCCAACTTCACTGTTTGGTATGTACATACCCAGTTATTCCAACGTCACCTGTCGAAAAGAATCTTCTTTCCTTATTGAATTGGCACCCTTGTTGAAAATCAACTGTCCATAAACATAGGGTTTACCTCTTTTTTTTTTTTTTTAAGATTTATTTATTTATTTATTTGAGAGAGAGAGAGAGAGAGAGCATGAGAGGGGGGAGGGTCAGAGGGAGAAGCAGACTCCCCGCCGAGCAGGGAGCCCGATGCGGGACTCGATCCCGGGACTCCAGGATCATGACCTGAGCCGAAGGCAGACGCTTAACGACTGAGCCACCCAGGCGCCCTAGGGTTTACCTCTTAACTCTCATTGATCTATATGTCTATCCTTATGCCAGTATCACACAGTTGATTACTATAGCTTTGTAGTAAGTTTTGAAATCAGGAAGTATGAGTCCTCCAACTCTGTTCTTCAAGATTGTTTTGGCTATTTTGGGACCCTTGCATTTCCCATATGAATTTTAGGATCAGTTTATCAATGTATGCACAAAAAGACAACTTAGATTTTCACATGGATTTTAACTCTGTAAATCAATCTGGGAAGTAGTGCCATCTTAACTCTTCATATTCATAAACCTAAAATATCCAATGATGTAAGTCTTCTTTCCTTTCTTTCAGTGATGGAATTTTTAGAGTATAAGCTTTGTACTTCTTTTGTTAAATTCATTCCTATGTACTTTATTTTTGTACTACTACTGTAAACAGAATTATTTTCTTAATTCCATTTTGAATTGTCCATTGCTAGTATATAGAATTAAAACTGATTTTTATTGATTGCTTTTTTTATCCTTCAATCTTGCTGAATTTATTTGCTCTAGTAGTTTCTACACAGGTCCTTTAAATTTTTTATATACAAATCATGCCACCTGCAAATAAGAATAGTTTTACTTCTTTTCCAATTTGTTTCTCTTGCCTAATTGCCTTTGCTAGAATCTCCAGTGACTAAGTGGTGAGAATGGACATTCTTGTCTTGTTCCTTATCTTATATGGGAAACTTTTTAAAAAAATTATTATTTATTTATTATTAATTTTTTTATTTTGAGAGTGAGAGAGCACACAAGCAGGGAGGAGGGTCAGAGAGAGAGGGAGAAGCAGATTCTCCACTGAGCAGGGAGCCCGACACGGGGCTCGATCCCAGGATCCTGAGATCATGACCTGAGCCAAAGGCAGACACTTAACTGACTGAGCCACCCAGGTGCCCCTGTGGAAAGATTTTAATCCTTTGTCATTAAGTCAGCTGTGGGCATTTTATAGATGCCTGTATCAGAATGAGGAGTTCCCTTATATTGTTAGTTTGTTGAATGTTTTTTTTTTTTTAAATCAGGAAAAGGTGTTGGATCTTGTAAATTGCTCCTTCTACATCTATTGAGATGATCGTGTAGTTTGTCCTTTATTCTATTAATAAGTTGTATTACATTGATAGATTTTCATGTGCTGAACTAACCTTGCATGTCTGGAACAAATCCCAACTGATCATGGTATGTAATCCTTTTCATACGTTGTTAGATTTGGGTTGCTAGTATTTTGTTGGGAAATTTGCATCTATATTCATAAGAAATCTTAGTTTGTTATTTTCTTTCTTGTGATTTCTTTGTCTGATTGTGCTATCAGGGTAAAAATAATGAGTTGAAAAATGTTGAAATGAGTTGAAAAATGTTCCCTCCTCTATATTCTGAAAAAAGTTTGTTATGAAACAAAAAAATACATTTATACTGACTTCTATATTTACCTCCCCGTTTACTTACCAGTACTCTTTATTCATCCTCTTCTTCATGTGGATTTGAATTTTTATGCAGTGTTTTTATTTCAGTTTAAAGGACTTCCTTTAATATTTCTTGTAAGGCATATATGCTGGCATATGCTAGTGTTTGTCTGGAAATGTCTTAATTTTTCCATTTTTAAGGAATAATTTTGGTGGACATAGAATTCTTGGTTGACAGTCCTTTTCTTTCAGCACTTTCACTAACTATGTCATCCCACTGCCTTCTGGAATCCAAGGTTTCTGAGGAGAAGTCCGCTGTTAATCTTACTGAAGATTCCTTGTATGTGCCGAATTGCTTCTCTTTTGGTGCTTTCAAGTTTTTTGTTTTTGTCTTCCAACAGTTTGATTATGAAGTGTCCAGGTATGACCTCTTGAGTTTACTCTACTTGGAGTTCATCAAGCTCTAACAATATGTAGATTAATATTTTTCATCAAATTTGGGAAGTTTTCAGGGCAGCTGGGTCACTCAGTCGGTTAAGCCTCTGACTCTCAATCTCAGCTCAGGTCTTGATCTCAGGGTCGTCCTGAGTTCAAGCCCCACACTGGGCTCCACACTGGCTGTGGAGCCTACTTAAAAAAAAAAAATTAGGGATGTTTTCAGCCATTATTTCTTCTAATATTCTGCTCCTCCCCATTTCTCTTTCCTCTCCTTCTGAGACTCTCAGTATGTATGACCTTCATGATGTCTCACAGGACTCTGAGGCTCTGTTCATTTTTTTTTTCTTTCTGTTCCTCAGTGTGGATAATCTGAATTGGCCTATCTTCAAGTTTCCTTGAATCTTGAAGCTCAAATCGGATGCTGAGGCCCTCTAATGAACTTTTCATTTGAGTTCTTGTACTTTTTAACTCCAGAATTTCTATTTGATTTTTTAAAACAATTTTAATCTCCTTATAGGTATTTTTAATTTGGTGAGAAACCATCCTCATGCTTTCTTTCAGTTCTGTAGCCATGGTTTCCTTTAGTTTTTTGAATGAATTTAAAACAGCTTATTTAAAGTTTTTCTCTATTATTTCCAACATCTAGTCTTCTTTTGAGATAGCTTTAAAAAAAAAAATTCTCTTGTGTGTGAACCATACTTCCATGGTTTTTTGCATGTCTCTTTTTTTTTTTGGTTAAAAACTTGATGTTAAAAACTGTAATTTTGTTAATATAATTAAATATTATATTGCTATATAATTATTATTATATTATATTATAAATATAACAATTATATTAAGAAAATATAATTTAACTCTGAAACTGAGATTCTCTTCCAACCCCAAGCTTTGTTGTTGTTGCCGTTTGTTTAGTCAACTTCCAACACTGATTCTGCAAAGTCTATATTCTTTGTCTGTGTGGCTCTGAAACCTCTGCTTGGTTAGCTCAGTCGTCACCTAATGGTTGACGGGTCAGAGGTCTTCCTAGCTGCCGTGAACCAATACATCTCCCAGCCCTTGCTGAGGGGGTCTGTGTGCATACCAGGACGTGAAGCTTCGACATGGAGGCAGGCAGTTTACAAGTCAACCTTAGCCTTCTTGTCACTTGCGCAGAGCTTCAAGGCCAGCCAAAGATGAAGGCTTAGGTCTTTCTCAGATCCTCCCTGGTGTACTGGTTTCCTACGGCTACTGCAACAACTTACTACAGGTTAGTTTAATACAACCTTGCTGGCTTAAGCAACACAAATTTATTCTCTTACAGTTCTGGAGGCCCAGTTACCATTAAGGTGTTGGCAGGTTTGTGCTCCTTCTGGAGACTTTAGAGGAGAATCTACTTCCATACTTTTTTTCAGCTTAGAAGCCATCTTCATCCTTGGCTCGTGCCCCTTCCTCACATCACTGCATCCTCTTGCTTCCGTTGTCACATCTCCTACCACTGGCTCTGATTCTTCTGCCTTCCTCTTATAAGGACCTTCGTGAATACATTAGGCTCACACAGATAATCCAGGATAATCCCCCCGTGTTAAGATACCTAATTCAATCACATCTGCAAAGTCCCTTTTACCATGCAAGGTCACAGGGTCACAGTACTGGGGATTAGAATGTGAATATGCTTGAGGGGCCATTATTCAGCCTACCACACCTAAACATGGACATAACCCTATGCATGTGTGTGATCTTCTAGAGGAAATTCCTTGTGAGTTATCATGTCAAGTCGGAGAAAGAATGTAGTTATTACTGAAGGACTACTCCAAGCAGCCAAGGGCCGTAACATTTAGGCCATCAGAGGGAAGTTCACTTAACAAACAAAACAAAACAGAAGACACAGCCCTATCATGGTTTAAAGCAGGGCCATACATTAGTGTGACACTGTGTGTTTTAAAGAAATACCTTTAAAAACTCATAATTCAAGTATTAAAATGATTAAGAGGGAAATGGCATTTGAGAGGAAGGTAGAGAGATTTGTGGTCTTCAGTCTTGAAAGGCAATAGTGAGGGGGATTATCAACAAATAATATACTTGGAGCGCCTGGGTGGCTCAGTCATTTAAGCATCTGCCTTTGGCTCAGGTCATGGTCCCAGGGTCCTGGGATTGAGCCCCGCATCGGGCTCCCTGCTCCGCGGGAAGCCTGCTTCTCCCTCTCCTCCCCGCTCGTGCTCTCTCTGTCTCTTTCTCAAATAAATAAATAAATCTTAAAAAGAAAACACAACACAACAAAACAAATAATATGCAAATATTAGAAAGGACAGACAGGGCATGGTATTACTTTTCAATATGGGTAAGAAATTTATAGGGTTCCACACCCTAAGGAGGTTGCAGAATAAAATAAAAATGTTTCTAAAACCTCAAAGATAATTTCTCCAAAATAACTTAAAAGAACTGTTACAGACTAATTTATGTCCCCCCCCCCCCCCGTTCATACATTGAGGCCCTATCCCCACTTTGTGACTATATTTGGAGATAGGGCCTTTGAGAAAGTAATAAAATGAGGTCATAAGGGTGAGGTCCTATTCCACCAGGACTAGTGTCCTTGTAAGAGGAGGCGACATCGGTGATCTCTCTCTCTCTCTACCCGTGCACAGAGGAAAGGCCACCTGAGGACACATGAGAAGGCAGCTATCTACACGCCAAGGAGAGACCTTACACCACCAAACAATCCTGGCAGCACCTTGATCTTGGACTTCTAGCCTCCAGAACTGTGAGAAAATTAACTCCTATTGTGTAAGCCACCCAGTCTGTGGTATTTTGTTATGGATACCCTAACAGACATACAGGACTTTCAAGTACTTTAGTGAACACCTCTTACATCATGAGGTTGTCATCAGGAAAATCTCTCCTCAAGAAAACATTAGTTGGTTTCACTATTAGAGTCAGTGGGAATATTCATTCACTTAATCATACGACAATTATTCAAGTTCAACGGTAGGCTGAGAATTTGAGTGTGTAGGTATGTGTGTGGTATACTGAGGAAAGTCCAAAGATGGATAACATGTAGTTAAAATCCTCAAAAACCTTAATATGGTACAGCTGTGATTCTAATTCCTTGTTTAAAGTCCAAACACCCTCGAGAGTCTACTCTGTTACTGTTGTCGTCATCAACTATGAGGCTCTGCCTTCCTTAAAATGATGAGAGCGCAGAAAGCAGGGTGTCTCAACCTCAACACTCCTGACGTTTTGGACTAGATAATTTTTTTGTTGTGGGGGGCTGTCCTTCAGCTTCTACTCACTAGATGCTAGTAGCCCACACAACCCATCCCTGCCCCAGTCCTGACAATCAAAAACATCTCCAGACATTGCTAAATGTCGGGAACAGATAAAACATTTGAAACAGCTCTACAGGTGATTTTGGTCCAAGCCCTGGAAAGGCAAACCTCTGAGGATCACCAGAAGGGAGTGATAAAAAGGTTCATCAATAACAATATTATGCAACTTGTGAGGAATGCAAACCAGGAGGCAAAACACGGTTATAAGAATTTGAACCAGAGTAAGCCAGAAGGGTTTCATGGAGAAAGCCAGAAAGATGGCTAAACCACTTGGATCATACATTAAACAAAATGTTAAAAATTATCTTTTAAAATATTTTATGCATTATGTATTTTTATATATTTTACTTTCCCCCCCCCCCCCCCCAGACATTTGGGCCAGAGTTAGAATAATAAAGAGAACAGAGGATGTGTGAAAACATTTGCCTTAGGTGGAATTTCCTGAGCTCATACAAGTAAAGACAGAAAAATTGCTACACTCCCTTAGAGGAAGAAAAAGATGGAACCTGTCCTCAGCTCACAACCGCCTTCCTTCAGGTTTGGATTGATCCTCAAATATTTAGCGAGTGCCTACTATGTTCCAGGACTAAACTCAAGAGTGGAACTGGGAACACAATAGTGAATAAGACTTCCAAACGATTCTGCCTTCCTACAGCTTACATTCCCATGGTGGAGGCAGAGGTGTGGAGAAAAATGAAAATATGTAATTGAGCATATAGTACTAAGTGCTATGGAGCAAAATAAAACCAGAAAAGGGAACAGGGCATGCTCAGTAAGGGGATTCAGTTTAGGGAGGTCATGAAAATAATCACTGGGCTGATGGCATTTGAACAAAGTTAAGTGAAAGAAACACAACTAGCCATAGAACCAGGAGGGAAGAGCATTTCAAGCAAAGGCAATAGCAATTACAAAGCTTATACGGTAGGAGAGAACTAGGCCTGTCTGAGGGTCAACCAGGAGGCGGGTATGGTTGCAGCAGACTTAGAGCAGGGAACTGGAGAAGAGCTAACAGGGAGGGGGGTGGGTAGCTCACAGGCCCTGTAGACCATGGTAAGGGCATTGGCTTTGGCTATGAGGGTTCTGAGCAGAAGAGTGTCCTTATTGGACTGAATCGCCCTGGCTGTTGTGAATACTTTAGGAAGGCAAAAGTGTTAGAACAGAAACCAACTAGAAAAGTATTTCAGCCAGGGAGAAATGATGGCGTGGCCAAAGACAGTGGCGCTGGAGGTGTGAAGAGTGGGATTCCCGATTTATTCTGCAGGTAGAACGTGGAGGAATTGCCCACTCTTTGGGTGTGGGCTGTGAGACAATGAGAGCAGGGAAGGTCTTGGCTTAAGCCACTGGATCCAACCATTCTTGAGGATCCCTGTGGTCCACGCTGCCAGACAAAGGGGTCCGAGGCAGATCTCTGGAAACACATCTGCCTCGGACCACCCCATATTTATTCCTCCTTGTGACCCCAACGCAGGTACAATAACAAAGCAGCAAATTACTGGGCACCGAATCTCTCTCCAACCAAGCACTGTGCCAGGGCCTTCCCAGACATAAGGACCACGGCTCCGTAAGGTGCAGTTAACCCGATCCAGTTTTTGCAGAAGGCACTAAGTCGCGGAAAGGATATGTTCTCATCACAAGGCTAAAAAGCGGCAGAGCCCGGGTTTCCACCGAGATCTTTCCTCGATTCCAAAACCACATGGAGGTGGCTCTGGAAGAGCAGTTAAACGCACAAGCCAACAAAGCACAGCGCCTGGGTGGGCCAGGCCGCGAGCAAAGGGAGGGGAACGCCGCACCTCCCGCCTGCGGAACCGCGCCGCAGAGGACACCTGTTCAGCGAGGGCCGGGACCCCGTCCCGCCCCCGGCACCCACATCCCCCTCAGTCAGGCCCACGCCCGCCGCCTGAGAGGCTTCTGGCCCGTCTCGGTTTACCTGTTGCGGCACCTGCGCTGCTCCCACTCCGCTCCCGGTGGCCGCGCCCGCCCCCGCCACAGCCCCGGCTACCGCGGTGGCCGCCGCCGCCACCACGACCGTCGTCAGGGCGGCCATCTTTCCTCGCCAAGCTGCTCGGGCCGCAGCGGCCACCCGGGGCCACGGGGTTCCGGCCGCGAGAGCTCCTGGTCCTGCAGACCGTTGCGGGCACGGCGGAGCTCCGCGGGACGCAGAGCACAGCGGAGCCAAGGCGCAGGGCGGGGCCGATATGGGGCGGGGCCGGGGCGCGGGGCGGGGCCGGGGTTCAGGGCGGGGCTCTGCCAAGTTGCCGGACGCCGCCGAGCCGGAGTTCAGGGCGGGCAGGGCGGGGCTCTGCCGGAATGTGGGGCGGGGCCGGGGACAGGGCGGGGCTCTGCCGGGATGCAAAGCAGGGCCGGAACGCTGGGCGGGACAGGAGCAGGGGCGGGGCCGGGGCTCTGGGCGAGGCGGGAGCGCAGGCGGGGTAGAGATGTGGGGAAGGCTCTGTGTGCAGGGTGGGTCAGGGAGGGGCAGGGCCGAAGTGTGGGGCGGGGCTGGGCGGCCCGGAGCACGGGGCGGGGCCGAGATGTGGGGCGGGGCCGGGGTGGAGGAGCGCCGAAGTGCCAGGCGGGCCCAGGGATGGGGCGGGGTCGGGAGACCGAGAGGGGGGCTCTGCCGGGATGCTAGGCAGGGCCAGAGTGCTGGGCGGGGCTGGAGCAAGGAGCGAGTCCGGGGTTCAGGGCGAGGCGGGAGCGCAGGAGGTGTCGAGATGTTGGGCAGGACCTGAGTGCTGGGTGAGTCAGGGAGGGGCGGGGCCAAGACGTGGGGTGGGGCCGGAACGAGCTCTGAGCTGGGCCAGAGCGCCGGCAGGGCGGGGCCGGGGCACAGAAAAGGGCGGGGCCGGAGTGCGGGCCGGAGTACAGACAAGGGCGGAGCCGGCGTGCGGGGCGGGGCGATCGGCCAGAGCCTCACTGCGCTGCGGCGGGTTTGTGTAAACTTTTCCCGTGCACTTGTCTACTTTTATTCAGCAACATCTTTATAGACCCCTCATTCACCTCCGCTCCCCTACCCACCTGTTACTGTCAAACTTATTTGTGTCATATATACATATAGTTCTATAGATACATAGAGCTATTTTACGTAATAGAACTTCTTTCTAGGTTCCTACTAAGCGCTGGTGAAAGCGAGTCTAAGTGAAAAAGCATTTATTTATGGGCTTGAACAGTTAACTATATTTCACACTTTCAAAGAAACGAAACAGGGCATGCCCCACCCTGTCAGATACCAGAGGCAGAAATGCCACACTTGATCAATAAGAAGACAGATTTCAAAGATAACTGTGTCGGGAGGTTGGAAAAAAGCCAGTAGGTGACTCCTGTAGTTAAAACACAGCCAACCAGTGGCAATTCGCCTGGTTCCCGGGCGCACCGCCTTTTCCTCTTCTAAAGAAATGGATTCATCCATTCACTCTTTGCTCATTCAATCAATACCCAGCTCCTACTAGATGCCAGGCACTGTTCTAGGCCTTTAGAATTCATTGTAGTTAGACATGCGTGCACATGCGCGGACACACACACACACACACACAGGTTCCTTCTTTCTAACTCTAGGGAATTTATTTATTTATTATTTTTTAAAAGATTTTATTTATTTATTTGACAGAGAGAGACAGTGAGAGAGGGAACACAAGCAGGGGGAGAGAGAGAGGGAAAAGCAGGCTTCCCACAGAGCGGAGAGCCCAATGCGGGGCTCGATCCCAGGCCCCTGGGCTCATGACCTGAGTCAAAGGCAGACGCTTAACGACTGAGCCACCCAGGTGCCCCTAACTTCTAGGGAATTTAAACAAGTAAACAAATAGGGTATTTACTGAGCACTTACTGTGTTCCCACTGTTCTAAGTAACCCAGTGAAGTAGGTACTGCAATTATCTCCTTTTCACAGAAGGTACAAACCTAGGCAGCCTGACCCCAGAGACCATCCCGGCAGAGAAGTTGAACAGGCAGCTGGATAAAATGCTTCTGGAGCCCTGAGAAAGACTGGAGCTAAAGATGTGACTTTGGTCTTCATCTGCATGTAGAAAATGTTTTATTTTTAAAGATTTATTTATTTATTTGAGAGAAAGAGACAGAGAGAGTCCGAGCAAGGGGAGGGGCAGAGGGAGAAGGAGAGAGAAACTGCAGCAGGCTCCTCGCCCTACCTGGGGCTCGATCTCATAACCCCTAGTTCATGACCTGAGCCGAAATCAAGAGTCGGATGCTTAACCGACTGAGCCACCCAGGTGCCCCTGCGTGCAGACAATATTTGACATAACTCCGAATGAGCTCACACAGGCAGAGGATAAATTGAAGTCTGAGAACTGAGTCCTAGGGCCTTCCAACATAGGTGCACAGACAGGGGGAGAAGGAGGAGGAGAAGGAGGAGGGAGGCTCAGAAGGAGGGGTCGGGCGCCTGGGTGGCTCAGTTGATTGAGCAACTGCCTTCGGCTCAGGTCATGATCCTGGAGTCCCGGGATCGAGTCCCGCATCGGCTCTCTGCTCAGCGGGGAGTCTGCTTCTCCCTCTGACCCTCTTCCCTCTCGTGCTCTCTATCTCTCATTCTCTCTCTCTCAAATAAATAAATAAATAAAATATTAAAAAAAAAAGAAGGAAGGGTCCCAGAGAAGAGAGGAAAACCAGAAGTCTGTGGAAGAAAAAAGTGTTTGGAAGAGAGAATGATCACAGACCTGCTGTGGTCTGCCGCCCGGAGGCTGAGTGAGATGAAAACAGAAATGCTGGTAGGGTTTGGCAACAGGGAAGCCTCGGCCACCCCGGCAAGAGCCCTGGCAGTGAGATGGTGAGGACCAAAGCCTCGCTGAGAGGGCCGAGGAGATATCGAAGGTGAGGAATAGAAATGACAGGGATTTCCATGGTTCTGCGATACAGGTGATCAGACACATGAGGTGGTCGCTGGAAGATGTGTCAGGTTTCAAGGTGAAGACTAGTGGAGGGTGTCTGTGCCCTGAAGTCCAGGACACGAGGGGAAATGTCCATCTTTGATAGGGGCATGGGTTCTTCTGGACTGGAGAGTTGCAGCACAAGGTCATTGGCAGATGTGGAGACAGAAGATGGGCTCCCTCTCCTCTCCCCACTAAGTAGGAGGAAGTAGGCAGCTTGGGTGTATTGCGAAGGTAAAACCTCTCTATAGACGCACATTTTGTCCAAAATGAGGTCTGTTGCTATAGCACCGCCTGAGCTCCTGTAACTGGTAGTCTAGAAACATCTGGCAGCCTCAGGGGAAATCAGTCCATCAAGAACTTCAGTTCAGGGGTCTCCGCAAGGGGCAACACCAGCATGGATACTCTAAGGGAATGCATGCACAAGCGAGACATCTGCTGTTTCAGACTCTCAGTGATGTATTACGATGGGAAATTCCGAGAAATGATTAAGAATCTCACCAACAGAAAACCAGAGCAGGCCTCTGCAACGAGGTTAGGCAGCTGCCTGGGTCCTCACGTCCAGGCCCTTTCAGAGATCAGAGCTACAAAATATATTCGTATTGTATGGTTTCATTTCTTACATTTTGCACCAATTTTAACTTAATATCAGAGGTTTGCCTTTCCTTAACCTCTTTTGTATTTGCCTTTCTTTTCTCTTGCACTGAAAATCTTGGCTCCTTACACTATCAACATAGTACTTGTTCGCGTTTTCTTGCAACAATTGCGTGCTTTCAAATTATAGTTCTAATATGTCCACTAACAGTAAACCTACTGAGTGAAATTTTAAAACCATTTTTGTGTTCTTTTTGCCCTTAGACTATGTACTGCACTAGACAGCCCATCAGAGTATTTACTGTATTTGACAGTTTTGTGAGCCATCCAGGTGCCCAAATTTTCCTCTTCTTACAAGCAGTCACTGGATTAGGGTTCATCCCAATCCAGTAGGACCTTGCCTTGACTACAACTGCAAAGATCCTATTTCCAAATAAGTTCACGTGCACAGGTACTCGGCGTTAGGACTTCAGCATCTCTTTGAAAGATGCAATTCAACTCATAACACATATTACATATAATCCTCCACGCTTTACGTTTTTCACCTAACAATATCTACTGGAACTCACTTGGTATCAGTTCACAGAAATCTTCATTTTTTTTTAATGCATCATACTCCATTGTTTTATTCAACCAGTCCTCTACTGATAGATGTATGGGTTATTTACAATCTTTTGCTGTTAAAAGTAATGATTCATCAGTATTTCATATCAGGGAAGCATATCTTTAGTAGAACTGCTGAGTCAAAAGATGAACGAAAACACAACGCAGGTATCGCTAAATTCCTTTCCATAGAAGTTGTATTATTTTGCACTCCCACTAGCAAAGCCTGAGGATGCCCGTTTCTTTATCACTTTATTTTTTTAACTTTTTGGATTTTTGACAATCAGAATAGGTGGAAAGTGATATCTCTCAGTAATTTTAATATGCCTTTTTCTTAGGAGTGACGGTCAGCCTTTTTCCACAAGTGGAAGGATATCGACTTGCCTTTTCTTTGAACTCTCTATTCACATTCTCTCCCCATTGGCATTTGGGCTTCTCTTTCCATTTTTTTTTAAAGAGCTTTTAATCAATTAGGTGATTCTGATATAATTTTGTGATATAAATTGTAAATATTTTCTTCTAGGTTTTGGTTTTGTGATTTTTGCTTTGAACAAGTTCTTTTTATTTTTATGTAGTCAAATTTGTCAATATTTTAGAATTGTCTTTGACGCTTCTGGATTTATAGTCATAGTTGGAAAGGCTTTTCTCACTCCAAGTTTGTAAAGAAATGAATTTTTGTTTTCTTGTGTGGTTTCACTTTTTACATGTAGATATCTAGATTATTTGGATTTCATTTTGATATCCAGTGTGAGATATGGATCCAATTTTGCTTTTTCCCAAATGGCTATCTAGTTATGCCAACAACATTTATTAAAAACAGTATATTTTCACCACTGATTTTTAGGTGTCACTTAACTTTTCACATATAATTGTCCTATTCTGAATTGTCTTTTTTAAATTTTTTTAAAAGATTTTTATTTATTTATTCATGAGAGACAGAGAGAGAGAGGCAGAGGGAGACGCAGGCTCCCAAGGAGCAGGGAGCCCGATGCGGGACTCGATCCCAGGACCCTGGGAGCATGACCTGAGCTGAAGGCAGATGCTTAACCATCTGAGCCACCCAGGTGCCCCTGAATTGTCTTTTTTTTTTTAAGATTTATTTACTTGA